ATAGCCTATTCTTATTTATTTACACCTTTGTGTCTGGCACATAGAAGGCCCTGGGACTGAGGAACTTACTGGGGGTGCAGAAAAGTATGAATCATTTTTATATTTTGCTCAAAGCAATAAACTACTAAACATAAAAAATGTACATCATCTAATAATCAAAACTCATCATGACGACAAAACAAAGTTAACTAGTAATTTAAAAGTTTCAGTAAGATATCTCTAAATAGTTATCCAAATTGTGACATTGTTTATTATCAAACTAGTGCAAAGTGCCCGTGCAAAATCCGTTTATGTGTGTGTTTTTAGGAATTGTTGGTTTGGTGTGTTTGAGTGCTCATTGTTACAATTACACAGCAAAAGTTCAGTGACATTTTTATTTGTGCATGGTAGAAAGCAAATACTGACATGATGTATTGGAGGATATATTTAGAGTGAATATTTGTGTTTTGTTAGTGGAGACTGACTGTTCTTGAAGATTACATGTTGTTATTGTGTCAGCATCTCTTTATATAGACAACATTGCTCAGAAAGTGGCGCTTTTTGTTTGTTTCTTCATCTTGAGCAAGAATACGAAGTCTGCTTGATCTGCCAACTCTGCTGGCTGTAACGTAGAATTGACCATGACTGAAGAAGTCTCTTGCGCAGAAGACACCAACATGTTGCAAAGACTGGCCTTTTATAATGACAACATTATAATATAACAACATTATTGCAGTCGTTATTAGTGTTTTCAGGAGATACAGCATTCAACATGACTAAAGTTTTTTTTAACTCCAAACTTTTTCATAGAACAGATTGTAGGCATAATAGCCAGTTTTAGCATTGAGGTCAGGCTATGTTTGACTTGTTGACTACTATCCAGTTAACGACCGATAAAACATTGTTAAGCACAACAAAGGAGAACACATACACAGCTAACTTGGTTGTTTCAATGATGAAAAGTAAGGATGGCTTACACTGGAAAGATGGGGATTTGCGTCATGATCGGTAAGAGGAGAGTTAACCTTGTTTAAGCCTGCATAGCCTACATGAGCTATCCTGTTGAAGAGCCAGGGCAACTATTTAACATAGCATATTCAACATCACGTAGTTACAGGCTAACTTCAGCGCGCATGACACAGTAATAGCTTAACATTGAGACCATCTTCAATGTGTGCTTCTTCTTTTACCGATATATTTACCGATATCTTTTGCATTTCTAATCCAAACAACGTCAAACTTGGCACTGCACTTACTCGTGCCCGTAGCAAGACACCCGTCAAGTTTGAAATCCATCCGACTAACGGTTCGAGAGATATGCGATTAACAGACAGACAGTCAGATGTTCCTGTGATTTATAGATAGATGCTCTTTATATGCTGATTATGAAAAACGCTAATGCTAAATGTATGAAAAAACGTCTAAAATCGTCACCCATTACCTTGAACAGTCATCTGTATGATAAAAATAATTGTATTACCTGCATTCTCGTTTTCTGCAGTGTTTTAGTGAAAGTATATTCGCTCACCGTGTTTCTGCTACTGTTGTTAAAATAATCGTTTGCAGCTCTTGGCGCTTTACGTCTTTAGTGAAGGAGAGAGAGAAGCAACTCGCAAGGAGCGGAAATGGCTTGAATGAAGCACTTTTGGCTCTAGATAAAAATAGTATAGAAATAGCTCCGAAAGATCATTACCATAATCGACCCTGAGTGCTTGCGGTGTGAACCACTCCGTTGTTTTGACACACTGCTCACTTTAATCTGTAGAAAAAGGTAAAACGGTGCCAATTATGCCACCATTTAATAAAGAATTATCGGTTATCTGTATTGGCCAAAATGTTCATATCGGTGCAGAAATATTTATATGAACTGCAAGAGACTATGCGCTCCAACCATTACCATAGTAAACGTGGTAAATATGACCGCTTGAAGAAATCAGACGAAATCATATGTGCTATCACAATCATGTGTTTATTTTATCTGTCAGTACGTCTCTTCTCTTTATAATGGACTGTCTGATATCCATATTTAGCTCCGCATATGTAATAAAATAAAGCAAGTCTGGTTTATGAAACTGAAAATATAAATGTATTGGGACGGTCACTGGAGAGACTGTTAAAGATCCGCAGGTCGTATTTTTGGTGGAAAATTAAAGATGATCATTCTTTCTAAACCTGATGTAAACATACTGTCCTGTGACTACAAATAAACATTGAATTTATTTGAATTTGAGACTGAATTAAGTACGTGTTCTTTCTTTTGAGAAATAACTGTAAATACCACTTGTTTTATTCTATTTAAGCGCAATCTTGACATAAATAAATTCCTTATAGTCAATCAATCACATAGCCTATTAGTGTAAAATATCGATGCTTGGGTTTTAAATTTTTAGGTAAAAAAAAACAAAAATGCTAAAAAACGGCCGCTTTTATCATGTTTGTTTTGCGTCTCTCTAGTTTCCAGTGATTTCTTTGTGATTCATTTTCTGATTAAACTTCATTTGTTGGTGAAATGATGGGTTTGTGTGACGTTGCTCCAGAGAGGTGTGTTTTAGTGACGCTCTGCAGAGCTTCAGGCCCGACGGTGGAAACACAGCGTGGTTTTGGATAGGGGTGCACGATTCAGAAAATGTCACGATTCGATTCAATACCGATTTTTTGTCTCAAGATTCGATTCAAAATCGATTTTCGATTCAAAAACGATTCTCGATTCAAAAAACGATTCGCAGTAGGCTATATAAATGTAGTTTACTTTTTCCTATGTGATTGATTGCAGTAGACACAATTTAAAAGAAAAAAAAACACAACAAATTAAATGTAGTTTGATATTACTTTATATGTCATCATACTAAAAACTTTTGCAACTAAAAAGTGCAAAGTGCCAAGCTTTGGCCAGCTTTCAAATACATTTAATTCAAGTTTAAAATAAAACTTAAATAACAAGCTTTTACATTTAGCTTTAAAGTTCTGTAGTCAGATCAAACAAACAATTATGCTAAATGTGGTTTAAGGACTACTTCAGCTACCAGGCTGACTGTTGAAATGTGAACTCGACTGGGCACATTGAACTTCCTAAAAATATATACTAATGTCATAGAACCCTTGCGAAATTATTTTAAATAGATTTTAAAAAGCCACCGCTACTGGTAACATCTATGGTTAGATTGATTTGTTTAAATCCAGTGAAGTCGTTCATAGGCGTAATTTGCGGGTATCTCCAGTTAACTAGCAGAGCATTCATTTAGTTCGCTATTAAATAAGAGATCTGTTGTTTTTGAAATCAAGCTGCACGCTCGTTGCCGCTGCTATCAGTGTCATGGATACAGTGTTCAGTGGCTCGCGCAGTCTTCACTCGGACGCGCGCTTCATATCGCCGCTGTGGTTCCAGTGAAATCACAAAATAAAATGCACACAAACGTGATGAACATATTCGGTTTTGATGAGAGAGAGAAAAAACTATACGAGTGCGGTTTAGAAGAACCCGTAAGCTCTGACACGCTTGGCAAACGATCTACAGAACTCAAACATAAGATCTGCGATCATGCATTTATTTACGGGTTGAGCAGAGAGGCTGCACAGTTTGACCAGCGGGCGGCAAGAACTTGCAATGTAACTATTTATCAGACCGGCCCTCGCGGCCTCGAAACACTACCGAACCACCGGTAAAAGTCCCGACTCGCCCAATTGCCACTCCGCTCGTGCACGCCATTAAAAAAAATATATGAATCGATTTTTGGAATTATATGAATCGATTCTGAATTGGTAAAGATTGAATCGCGATTCAAATGTGAACCGATTTTTTTGCACACCCCTAGTTTTGAACTCGGTGCTGAAGGCCCGAGGATATTAGCCCAGACTAGGGATGGGCATTTTTCAAAAATATTGCATTCGAATATTCGGGCTCATAAAAATCGAATATTCGAATATTCGTTTATTTAAAAGACGTTTAATGAACAAGACGTTATTTTTTAAGTTAAATTTTTTTTCACGTTTTTGTCACCATTTCTGAACAAGCTTACATTAGGCAATATACACAACAAGCTTACAATATATGTTAAAGTTTTCTTTTAGTTGAAAACATTAAACAGTAGGCCTATGTGTAAACAAAAAATATAAAAAACAAAAGCATTAATAAAAGCATCCTTAAGCAGCGCGAACGGGAAAAAAACGCCTAATAAAGCAGATTGCGCCAGATATCGTACAGAACGTACACACACACGAGTCAGCATATGATTATCGTGTTTATATGGTTTCACGTTTTTATTGAGAAAAACAATATCCACATGCAGGGGCGCCGCCAGCAATTTATGCTCAAGGGAGAAAAGGCGCTTTGCTGACAGACGTTTCAGAGACACAAAGATAACGGTGTTTTAAGTTTCTAACAGCACTTTGCGTTTTCTGTTCTTAAACCGGTCTCCCTCAACGAAACCTAAAGGAAGTATATGTCTCAAAATCATTTTGCTATAAGATAAGTTATCATTTCGGATCACGCGGGGTCCAGCTGCGCTTTACCTGCCGTCGTGATGCAGTGATGGACAGCTGTCTTTCCTCATTCGACTGTTTGGATTTCATGTGATTTCTCATTGTGTTGATGATATTATAACTCAGATTAATTAATTAATTCGATCAAAAGTAATTCCATTTAGTAAGATCATTTTCAAGTAATTCCAAACTTCGCGAGGCAGACGACAACATTATGTGATCAAATACACACAACTTGTTAACACACTCCACAGCGCCACCCAGTGCATTTAATTATAACTGCGAGTTAGTGCTTGGGATTTATCATGGATTCACTGCATTTACGGCCAGCAAAGCAATGTAGTAAAATTCGAATAGTATTTTATTTTTCGAATAATAATTACAGATCGAATATTCGAAAATCCGAATATTCGTGCACATCCCTAGCCCAGACCGGCCCGTTTAAAGCCTTGGCTCGCACTGGCCCGACAATGGAAATGCGGCTATTCATTTCCGTAGAACTAGACAATTTAACAAGGATCAAATGACTGAATGAAACCAACCTGTGTGTTCCTCAGTTTCTTCATGTTTCACTCTGATTGTTTCTTTAAACTTCACGTCTTCACTCTCCTCTTTAATACACGCCATCTTTAAGATGAGAATAAATAAAGTAAAAACACTCAAAACTAAATCTCTGAGAGCGTCTCAATCAGATCTAGTTCAGTAGTTCAGTTCACTGGTAAGAGAGTCAGTCAGAGAGAGAGAGTTAATGGACTTAAATGACCTGATTAGACTAAAAACACTCTAAACTAAATCTCTGAGAGCGTCTCAATCAGATCTAGTTCAGTAGTTCAGTTCACTGGTAAGAGAGTCAGTCAGAGAGAGAGAGTTAATGGACTTAAATGACCTGATTAGACTAAAAACACTCTAAACTAAATCTCTGAGAGCGTCTCAATCAGATCTAGTTCAGTAGTTCAGTTCACTGGTAAGAGTCAGTCAGAGAGAGAGAGAGTTAATGGACTTAAATGACCTGATTAGACTAAAAACACTCTAAACTAAATCTCTGAGAGCGTCTCAATCAGATCTAGTTCAGTAGTTCAGTTCACTGGTAAGAGTCAGTCAGAGAGAGAGAGAGTTAATGGACTTAAATGATCTGATCAGACTAAAAACACTCTAAACTAAATCTCTGAGAACGTCTCAATCAGATCTAGTTCAGTAGTTCAGTTCACTGGTAAGAGAGTCAGTCAGAGAGAGAGTTAATGGACTTAAATGACCTGATTAGACTAAAAACACTCTAAACTAAATCTCTGAGTGCGTCTCAATCAGATCTAGTTCAGTAGTTCAGTTCACTGGTAAGAGAGTCAGTCAGAGAGAGAGAGTTAATGGACTTAAATGACCTGATTAGACTAAAAACACTCTAAACTAAATCTCTGAGTGCGTCTCAATCAGATCTAGTTCAGTAGTTCAGTTCACTGGTAAGAGAGTCAGTCAGAGAGAGAGTTAATGGACTTAAATGATCTGATTAGACTAAAAACACTCTAAACTAAATCTCTGAGTGCGTCTCAATCAGATCTAGTTCAGTAGTTCAGTTCACTGGTAAGAGAGTCAGTCAGAGAGAGAGAGAGTTAATGGACTTAAATGACCTGATTAGACTAAAAACACTCTAAACTAAATCTCTGAGTGCGTCTCAATCAGATCTAGTTCAGTAGTTCAGTTCACTGGTAAGAGAGTCAGTCAGTCAGAGAGAGTTAATGGACTTAAATGATCTGATTAGACTAAAAACACTCTAAACTAAATCTCTGAGTGCGTCTCAATCAGATCTAGTTCAGTAGTTCAGTTCACTGGTAAGAGAGTCAGTCAGAGAGAGAGTTAATGGACTTAAATGACCTGATTAGACTAAAAACACTCTAAACTAAATCTCTGAGAGCGTCTCAATCAGATCTAGTTCAGTAGTTCAGTTCACTGGTAAGAGAGTCAGTCAGAGAGAGAGTTAATGGACTTAAATGACCTGATTAGACTAAAAACACTCTAAACTAAATCTCTGAGAGCGTCTCAATCAGATCTAGTTCAGTAGTTCAGTTCACTGGTAAGAGAGTCAGTCAGAGAGCGAGAGTTAATGGACTTAAATCACCCGATTAGACAAAATACTTAGGCTAGCATTATAACAGACAATTATTATTTAGTTATGATTTATATTTGGCATTTAATAACTTTAATATACACATTGTAACAGTTATGATTACACCTGTTTGTGTTTATTGTTCTCGTTGTATTCACACGGTTTGACCAGCAGGAGTCGTCCGTGTTTGAGGTGATTCAAGCACTTTGAAAATGAATAATTTAGCAAAACATTAGATTTAATCAGGGATTAAAGTGAAAAAAATTCTTCTGACTGAAATTTTTTTCAGGCCAAGTCATATTCCTGTAACTTTATTTAAATAGTCGAGACCAATAGCGTTTTAAGGGAAGATGTATAAAACCGATCTAATATTGAGTAATTTAAAAGCTATTTTAATCTATGAAAAACAATTACTTATCTTGACAAATAATCAACCATCTGCATAACTTTTCAGTGCATGTTTTTATTTATCTTATGAGACCAAACAATGCTAAACTATATTAATATATAGTTTGTGCCATGGCAAATTGTTTTGGCTGAGGGCAAAGTGAAGTTTTATAACTTTATTATGTAGGCTATATTTAACTTTAACTTTGTAGCCTATTACAGAGCTGACTTATGTTTAATTGAATTGTTTGCTTTATTTCTCATTGTATAGCTTATTATAGCCTACCTATTAGGCTACTACTTTTGAACGGGATATTAGCATTAAAACTGACATTTAACAAAAAAGAGACATGGTTGTGTAATTTTATATATTCTAAAATATATAAAATATTATATTACTATGCATTCTCTTCACTGTATGTGTACGCATAATACAATAAAACGATACAACCCTGTCTGTTTGTTAAATGTCAGTTTTAATGATAAATAATGTTTCATATTTTTAAAATGAAAACAAAAAGAAGCAGGTTTGTGTTTTAGCTATATTTCGTGTTGTTATAACTATATGATAAATCAATGTGCGTTGCCTGAACCACATTTGTGTGGCCATTTATATGTTTATGATAATAATTATGTTCATTTATAAAAGAAAAGAGGCACAGTGGTGTTGATGAAAAAAGGCAGAGTTGATAACCGGAGTAGCCGCGTGCTGAGTGACGCGATCAAGAACGCGCTGTCAGCAGCGTCCTCTCGTCCTCGGGAGTTTGTTCTCCTGAGTCGAACTTGGCAAGTCCGAACTACCAAGGACGCAAGTCCGAAGTTTGCGTACTTGGTATTGAGAAACGACCAATATTGACCCGCGTTCTGTTTTCTATCATGGGACCGCAGCAAACGAGCTGTAGCCTCGCCTGACAAGATTGAGTGAACAGGGTCCAGGGAGCAGTTTTTCCGTGAGCGGGAATTGAAAAACCGGAGTGGACCATGAGCAAAGTGATTACAGAATGCTTAGAGTGGAGAGAGGAACGTGCTTTTGCTCCACTCCAGGCTTTATCACATCCCCCCTCAGCAGGGTGAATACGCATCATCTTTCCTTAATTTAAGACCTATTCAAACTACAATTAAGACATTTATCACACTGTTTGCGAAATGAAAGCCTATTTACGGCCTTAAAATTATGAAAAGTTAATTTAAGACATAAGGACAGACGGGAACCCTGCAATTGACGGATATCCGTCATAGACTCGCTGCAATTAACGGAAATCCGTCGTAGCGACGGAGAACTTTAATCCCTGTTTAATGGAGTTTCGAAAATCTCCGTCTCTATCGAATCTACTTATCAGTGATCAACTCGTGTTTATAATGAACTGATTCACGATTTAGGGAGCGAAACTATGTAAAGTTACAATATGTAAATTGAGTAAATCTGATGTTTGCTGTAAATTGTTATACGTCCCATCGTGTCATGACTGCTATGTTGCTCGGAACTGCACCTAATAATTTCACCCACTGTTGCACTTGTGGGTTGTGTGACAATATAAAGGGATTTGATTTGAAACGAGATGCATCTTATCTATTTCTCGTGTGTGGATATACGCTTTACTCACAAAAATAACGTTCATTAATTAGATAAAGCATTACAATGTTACATTCAATAATATATCATTCATTTTTACATCGCTTGTAAAAACTAAAAAAGTGATTGAACGATTTTAAACTCTTTAAATGGTTAAAAAGACAAACCTTTCTTCAGCAGAAACACATCAGATACAGGAGCTCGACGCAGCATTATGACGTCACTTAACCACACCAAAATAAAAGTCCAGTTCAAACACTTAAATCACAGAAGTCCATAGAAACGCACATGAAAATAATAAAACCGTTCAAATTTAAATTATTGTGCTGAATAAAAAAAAAACAGAGTTTGGACCACAGACATATAATATGTGATATTTTGTCTAAATGGCAAAACACATAAAACACAAAACAAAGCTCTAATTTTTGTTTGTTTGGTGCATTTAAAAAAAGAGAGCTTTATCAAAAACTGTTATTTTGTTACTATACAATAAACGAGATTTGTCAATACAATTAAACCTTCATGAGGGCAATAGACTCAAAAACACTAAATAAATGCAACAATCAATAACATTGTGTTGTGTATATTTTGTTATACAAACACACTTATACACTCATATTTGGCTATACTCTCTATGTGCAATGTTTGTTATATACTCTCTATGTTTTGACTGGGATCATGTTTTTTTTGTACTGTCCCTATACAAATAAACTTATAAATAATATATATATATATATTTTTTTTCATATATATATATATTTAATTATTTATTTGTATAGGGACAGTGAAGTAAAAAAATCCTTTGGTGTACGCCCGCCATTAGACACATTGACAAACTGCTTGTATAATGACTGAAAACAACACACACACTTATTTATATATATATGACAAACTGCTTGTATAATTACTGAAAACAACACACACACTTATTTATATATATAAATAAATCACACATACACACTTATTTATATATATATATATATATATATATATATATATATATATATATATATATATAAGTGTGTGTGTTGTTTTCAGTAATTATACAAGCAGTTTGTCAATGTGTCTAATGCCGGGCGTACACCAAAGGATTTTCACAGTCCCAGACTAAAGACCGGCAGTCTTTAGGAATCTTACTGGAGTCTCGGCGCGCTCCCGTCGTCTCGATCGTTAAATGTGAGGTGATGATCTGCAGTCGGCGACCCGATTTATGCCAGTCTTTCTCTAGTCTTTCATATCAAACATGTTTGATATTATCGCAAGTCCTAGCCTAGTCATAGTGACGTAAAACAATCAACAACCAATAAAATCGTTCTCAGAAAACAGGAAACAGGAAGCCATTAGTCACAACAAAGAAACATGTCGACGGACGTGGAAACACAACGATCGGCAAGTAGGCGAAAATGGACCGTGGATAAAGAGAGAGCGTTAAAGACTCTCGCGGGCACGAAGGGGGCGAATGGCCTCCGGGTTCAGATCGCCGCCATTTGCAGGCTTGTGAAACTGAACCGGAGCCGAAAGCACGGCCCGCACGCTCTCGGTTCTGGGCAATGGCTGCTCGCTGAAAGC